TTTTTTATGGCTCTTTTTGGCCATCTTAAAATAATAATAACTCAGATTTCTATAACACTTTTAGGTTACTCCTAGGTTCCTCATAACAACCTTTGTTTTAGGTACTATAAGCATTATTATACACAATTTGCAGATGTGGAAATTGAGGCTCAGAAAGGTTAAACAATTTGGCCAACATCACATGGCTTGTAAATATCTGAGACAAGATTGTTGTCTCTTGACTCCAAGTACAGCACACTTTTCTCTAAGACCTACAGTGTCTCATCTTTCCTGATCATTTGACAGAGAAGTGTTGGTGTTAATGATGTTGCTTTTAATGACATGGTTGTGCTTGGTGTATATATTGTTTTCTTTGTTCTGCTTTCTTAACCTTGCTTCATGTCATGTCTTTCTACATTTCTTTGAATTTTTTATATTCATCCTTTCTTATAGTACAGCAATATTGTATTACGTGCATGTACCATCATTTGTTAAGCCATTTTCCAATCATGGACCTGACATTTGTTTCCAGGGGCTTTCCCCTCCTGTTTCAAATAATGCTGCTAGGAATTATTTTGTACAGAAAGGTTTTCTCCCTTTCCTTTGGCTATATATACAGTGGTGGCAAAGAGCATGAACATTTTTGTAATTTTTTCTTGGTAATTCCATATGACTTTCCAGAAACACTGAACCAATTAATTGCTCTACCAGCAACTTATCAATATGCCATATGAGCACCAAATTTTGTCTTTTGTTATTTTTTGCCAATTTTATGGGTGTCAGGTAGAACTCAGTTTTTTTCATCATCATCATCATCATCATCATCCTCATCTTCTTCGTCATCATCATAGCTAGCATTTACATAGCTTTAAGAATTATAAAGACCCTTACAAATGTTATCTTATTTTATCCTCACAACAGCCCTGAGAGGCAGGCACTATTATTCTCATTTTACAGCTCAGGAAGCTGAGGCAGGCAGAGGTTAAATGACTTGCCCAAAGTCACACAGTAAGTATCTGTGGCTAGATTTGAACTCAGGAGATAGTAAGTATCTGTGGCTAGATTTGAACTCAGGTATTCCTGATTCTAAGTCAAATACTAGAGGTTTTGAATATTTCTTCCACAAGGTTATTAATTTGTGTTCTGACCTTTGAATCCCACCCATTCATATTAAAATATACAGTTTAGATAAGTCACAGTACCTAGCCTTAAGGAATTCACAAGGCAGTAAGGAGGTATGACACAGATTCCTTCTCTATTTTTAAGGTTCATTGGTTCCACCTTCTCTGGGAAGTCTTTGATCACCCACCTCCTCTGCTGAAAGTCTTCTCTCTTTCTGTCTCTCTCTGTCTCTGTCTGTCTGTCTCTCTGTCTGTCTGTCTCTCTCTCTGTCTTTCTCACTCTCTCTCTCCACAAATATTCCTGGAATACCTTGCTTTGATCTCTCCTTTGCCTCTATCTCTCCTTATCCTGTATTAAATTTATATAGCATGTCTGCCCTAGCCCTGCTCCCTCAGAGCCAGGCCTATTACATCTCTCCCTCACGGTTCTCGGTACCCTGAGGGTGGTTGTGGGGGTCTCTTTTCTCTGCCATTGTCTTGAGCCCTGACTACTTTTGTTTCCGTTATTTGTTGGGGGGAGGTAGTGGTTAGCACCCCCACTTCCATTTAACCACTTACCCTCAGATGAGCTCTTACAAAAAAAGATATTTACTTCAAAGATACAGCAAGAACATAGAAAAACTTTCCCTAAATACTGTGGTGACCCCCCTACTCCACTTTGGTCTCTGGGTGGGGAGAGGGCAATTAGGCTCACACCTTAGCTCAGTTCCTACACAGCATTGGTTCCACCAAGCTCAAGCCCAGATGTATCATGCCTGTCAGATGAAGCTTCTTCTCAACTACCACTGGGCTGAGTTTTCAAAGGTCATTCTCCAAAGTCGCTCCTTGCTCCTCTGGGCATTGAAGCTGCACTGACTGGGAAATAAATGCTAGGATGGACAGGGTATAGAAGAGCCCTCTGGGTCTTTCGAATTCCCAAGGTCACGAGCTCCACTTTCTTCAGTAGTTACCAATCTCTACCAAGCACACTGAGGCAAAGAGGGATGACCAGATCTAACTCAGGCTTTTTCAAAAATTCCAACAGTTGCAGCTGCTGGCCAACGGACTGCACGTGTGTCTGACATCCATTATACTTATTTATGGACATGCCATATTTCCCTTGGAAAATGCTTCTTGAAGACAGGGACTGTAAATTTTATTTCTCATGTTCCTTCTCTAATAATTTGCACAAAGCACACACATGATAGATACTTGCTCAGTTTGAGCCGGTTAAGGGGCAATTACCTAGAAACTACAAACCTGACTTTGCCAGAAGGACTCATCCAATTCTTTGTATGATTCAGAAGCTAACTTGGTACTGAGTTATTATTTCTCTTTTTTTTTTTAAAAGGGGGGCCTCAGGCAAAAACACTTTATTCAACTAATGACAGAACAAGGCCAAGAAATAGATCTCATTGTCATGACCCAGTGCCTGGCCTAGTTGTATTGTTTAGCTGATGCTATCAGCTCTATCAATCCTCCACCATGTTTGTTACAGATTAATTATGTCTGGGGAATTATTTAAAGGTTGGGCTTTTCTTTGAAAGGATACAACTACCTGAAATGGTCTCCAGAGAATCAGTTACTACAATTGAGTAGAAATGCCAAGACAGCTTCATCCCATGCCACCCCATCCCACCACCTGCCCCCACCCCCGACCCCCATCACAGAAGTGGGACCAGCGCACTTCAAATATTCATTGCAGAATACTAGCATTGGAAGAGAATTTGTAGACCACCTTATCCAATTCCCTTTAATGATGAAGAAACTGAGGTTTGGATAGTTTTGGCCAAAGTCATATAAGCCAGTTAGTAGCATGGTTGATATTCCAATTGAGGTCTCTTGACTTGAGACCAGAGGTCTTTCCCCTCCATTGTTTTCCGACTAGACAATGGGGCCCTATTTGAAGACCTGACAACAAAATCTGTGCAGTTTTAAGTTTTACTGCCTTAAAGGTTTGTAAAGCACTTTTCATTCATTATTTCATTTGATTTTCACAACAACCCTGTGAGGTCGGTGCTATTATTTTTCCCATTTTATGGATAAGGTTCAGTAATGAATAGATAGTAAGAATCTGCATCAGAATTTAAACCCAAGTTTTCCTGACTCCAGGTCTAGCATTTTATTCGCTGTGGCAAACTGCTTTTAACATTTTAGGGATACGCATTTCAGCAAGGGGACAGCTTGGTGCCAAGTGGATAGAGTGCCGAGTCTGGAATCAGGAAGATTCATCTTCCTAAATTCAAATCTGGCCTCTGTGACCTTGGGCAAGTCACTTAACTCTGTTTGCCTCAGTTTCCTCATCTGTAAAATGAGCTGGAGAAGGAAATGCAAACCACTCCAGTATCTTTGCCAAGAAAACCCCAAATAGGGCCATGAAGAGTCAACCCAACCAAACAGTAAGACATCTTAGGTTGTACTTAATTTCTCAAATCTATTACTTATTTACTGTTACTTAAGTGGCACCCAATTTAGGGAGTAATTGCCTAGACTAAGAAGTAATTAATATCATTGTCTCTTCCTTGCTGTCAGGGTGAAAGGTGTCTTTGGCCATTGACCTAGAAAATAAAAATCCCTATTTTTTTTAACAGTCTTTCCCAAAAAGACCGGTAATACTTTGTAGTGGGCATTTTTTAAAATGAAATTGTGGGAAAACTCAACCGCCATTATTTCTAGAGAAACAGAAACAGATCATGGAGGTTACTTTTGTTTATGTACAAAAGTGAAAGGGTTGCACAATTATCTAGATAATTTGAGTCAGTTTGGAAAATTCAGGTCATCTTCCATTAAGGCCTCCTTATTAGTAGCCTAGCTTGTTTTTTTATTTCTTTGCTAATTTTGATAGGGGATAAGGATGGGCATTATTCAGTTATTTATTTAAACATTGATTTTTTTTTTTCCTTCTGAAGAGGACATTGGAAGACACAGAACTAGGGTACCCAACTGTTGAGCGCTAACCACCAGACGGCGCTGTCTCCTTCCTAACAAGCTTTATATATACCTATGTTGAGGACGTTGAGGGGGCTTCTTCTTCCCGGTGTCCACAGTATTCTTGGAGATGATTCCAGCAGAGACTGATTTCACCTCTCGTTCTTGTCCCGTGGCAGGGGATCTTTGTTTGCAGAATGCTGTTAAGATCTCCACCGGTGATGCTCACAAAGAGGAGTCCCCACCCAAAGCCCTGAGCACTACCCTAGGCTCCCTCATTGATTTTTCTACGTGACCTGAAACAAATCACGAAACCACTCCCTACCTTAGTTTCCTCATTTGTGAAATGTATCTCTCTAATTAAGGCAACAATCCACGGGCGACTTTCCATATTAGGAATGTTGTAAGGACAAATTAGCCCAAGTATGTAAAAATGAAAGGGTGGCAGACGAATATAGACAGAATGTGCTTATATATTCTTCCTTCTCGGAAATTTTACATAGTTTTCTTCAGGAAGGGAGAGTGATTTCTAATCTCCAGCACCAACAAGTCACCTCCCTACCAGCTTCGCTTTGTTTAACATCAACCTAAAATTTCTCTTCTATCGTTCTCATTTTGAGAGTGGGGGTGAAGGATGGGGGGCGGGGAAGAAGTCAGGCTGGGGGAGGGGCAATGAACGACTGTCACTGAAGTGTCACGCTGCCCTTTCCTTTCCTTCGCCTGTGTGTGAGTGTGTATGTGTGTGTTGACGCGTGTGTGCTCGAGAAAGAGAGTTCTCGGAGCATCTAGTCCCCGGACGGAGAGGCTGGGCTGCTGAGCGCTTTCTCTGAGAGCCGGGTGGAGGACGCAGCAGCAAACACTGACCCTCGGCTCTCCCCACCTGTGAGCTAGGAAGATTCCGGGAGTGTGGACTGGAGGGCGCGCACAGCCCATCACCTCTCCAGCAGCCTCCTCCTGTAAGCCCTTCTGCGTCCCAGGGAGCTCGTAGAAGCCATGGAACATCCCCACAAAGACGGGGAGACCACGGCGGCGGCGGCGGCGGCGGCGGCCGCAACGGCTGCAGCCGCGGACCCTCGGGGAGCATCCTCGTCCAGCGGGGTAGTGGTGCAGGTGCGGGAGAAGAAGGGCCCCCTGCGTGCAGCGATCCCCTACATGCCATTCCCCGTGGCAGTCATCTGCTTGTTCCTCAACACTTTCGTGCCGGGACTGGGTAAGGAGAGGTGGGCGGGTGGGATTCCTTCCAAATGCGGGGTGACTGCAAAGCGGCTGGCCAGGATTGGGGGGTGCGGAGGAGGCCATCGAAGGTGCGATCTGACCAGGCTGAGGGTGTGCAACTGCCATCCCCAGGGGCGTCCTGGATGGAAGCGACGATTGCCCAGCCCACCCCAGAAGCTGTGTCCCTTTGAGGCGGGGGCGCTGTCGGGTTGGAAAAACAGTCGGTGGTGGGTAGAAGGAAGTGGGCGACATCCCGGTAAAGAAGGAGGGAGTGGAGGGGCCAGAGCCTTTCCCCCGACGCTACCTCATTACTAACTCTTATCCGCCCCTTCCCAGTTACCGGGGAGCTGGAAACTTTTTAGGTAGAATTGGAGGCGCCAGATGAGCTGCAGCGGGGGGATGCTCCTCAGAGCCTTGGTGCTACGATCCGCGGGCAGCCCGCCCTACCCATGGGTCTGCTAGTTCATTCCCCTCTCTTGCACCCCGTCCACACGTTCCTCTGACAACCACGTTGATGTTCAAGCTGGCTTGAGTAGACCTACTTCTCTATCTCGTTCCCACAAGGCATTTAAGCCCCTTCCCTCCCTTTTTTCTTTTAAATGGGCTCAGGGAGAAGGAAAAAATGCTTTTTTATGGGCTACACGAGAGAGAAGAGGACCCAGGGCGGTGCCCTGCTGCTAGCATAAAGCCCTAGGACTGGTGCTTTCTCGAGAGCTCTGCAATCCTCAAAGTTGTCAGAGAGACAGAGAAATAGGGACCCAAAGAAGAAGGAACAGGACTGGGGCAGGATGGAGTCTGGGCTGAGGAGTGGCACATCGTGCACCTCTGTTGGCCAGCAAGGGAGGAATGATAGAAAACGCCAGAAACTAAGGGCCCAGCCTTCCTGTCTTTCCTCATTACCCTCATCCTCATTTTTAAAAAGCACCTCTGGTAGCTCAATGGAAAAGTCACTTGGTTATTATCAATATTTGTTTGTTTGCGTTTTTCTTTCTCTCTCCACCCCCACCTTTCTTTTTTGGTTTTCTAGACGAACATAGGAGTGAAATGAGGACTTTATGACCAGTTCTCCTTAAGACCATTTCCAGTAAACCAGAATGTGCATATATACACACTCGGGACTGGATGGGAGCCGGCTCCATTGCAACTGGGTCCGATGCCAAAATTCCAACTGGGGGTGGGAGAGAAGGAGCATGGAGAAGGAAAAGTTTTGCTGTCAGTCTTACCTCAAGCCTTAAAACCCCCCTCCCTATTTACACCCTCGAGGCTCCCTTCTCCCACTCCCTCCAGCCTTGGCACAGGTTGTACTTGGCATGACTATGAGGCCCTCGGTTCAAACACACCCCTCCTCCCCCTCCCAGCAACGTGAGTTTGCAGGCTCATAGAACCGTTGGCAGAGGCAGAATGCTGTGGGCCTGGGCTGGGAAAAGGCAATCCTTTCTGGATCTCCCTCAGTCAAAGACTTGCCACTGCACAGCCTGGCAGTAGGGAGCCCGGGCAAGACCCTTGGTTGGGTTCCCAAAACCTCTATGTACAGACAGAAATCATTCCCCTCAGTTCTTTGCCCTTTTCATGGTCTTGGTCTATCCTTCACTTAATACCCCACAGCAGATACCTTATTAATATAATAATAGCTAGCATTTATATAGCATCTACTATGTGCCAGGCACCGTGCTAAGTACTATTACAAATATTATCCCATTTTATCCACAATAACTCTGGGATGTAGGAGCATTTACCATCTCCAGTTTACAGTTGAGGAAAGTGAGGCAAACAGAGGTTAAGTGTCTTGCTCAGGGTTGTACAGCTAGTGTCTGAAGTTGGATTGGAACTCAGGTCTTCCTGACTTCAGGCCCAGCTTCTATCCACTAAGCTACACTTCGTGAGAATTTTATCTAGGGTGGTACTCAAAGGTATATAAAAAATGGGGAATTTGTTGGAGGGTGGGAGAGGGAAATAAAGTGCATTTGCACATGGCTTACATAATACGCATAAAACATATAGTCTATCCTCAGAAAATTTTTGTCTTAAAATGCCAACATTTCTACCTTTTGATGATTTTTTTCATCCCTTATTTATTTCTTCCCAGACCAAGAATCCCCCTAGAAGTAGCAGTAGAAGCAGGAGAAAAGGGACCTGGAATGAGGAGAGAGCCCTTGAGAACCTGTTTCAGGTCACTACCAGCTCCTGAGATAAAATTTCCAAATTACATTGACTTACTGGATACTAGCTGCCTTGGCTTTAACCTCCAGCTGAGGAGCTAGGCATGAAAGAATTTCCCAAGCTCTACCTACAAGTACATATGTATCTATCCATACTACATATCTATGTCAGAGGTGTGTGTGATTCAGAGACCATTTGGAGGCAGCATGGTGAGTAAAGTGAGTAAAGATAGAGCTGGCCTCAAAGCCAAGAAAGCTTGGGTTCAAGTTTCATCTCTGATATATAGTGGCTGGGTAAGTCATTTACACACTCAGTGCTCTAGGCAATTCTAAAACTGTAAGTTGCAGAAACCTGCTTTGATCAGAGAGAGTTCCCCCTGCCAATGAAATCACAGGTCTGGACCCTATTCTGTGGGGCTTGGGGGTGCCATAAATTGTCCTGGGCTTTATGCTGCATCAGGAAAACAGCCTTTGCATTTAGACAATGCCAGAGAGGCAAGAGGATGTCCCTTTAGTCATGTCAGAAAGTCCCACTTACTGGAATAAAAACACACTGTTTTTCCATCTGTTTGGAGGATGTGGATAGCATCATTGTTGATGTGCTTAGATTCCACTTTTTTTTTCCAAGTGGTGAAGTAAATGCCACCCTATGGTATTTTACAGCAAAAAATAAATTAATGCCAGGATGGAAGTGGCCTCCCCCTTCTGCCTTCCCTCGGAAAGTTTTCTCTTTTGGGCCTAGGGGGACGGGCACTCTTTAGAATGGGTTATAAATATTTGGATTACAGTAATAATAGCAAACATCTAGATTATGCTTTCTGATTTATAGAATGGTTCACATACATGATCTCATTGGATTTCATGTTATCACACCATACATGTGCATGTGTTCCAAATATAATAGAATCATGCACTAATCCTTTTAGTGACAGAGAGGCTTAGAAAGTTCCATCGTTGGCACCTTTCTCCTCAGACACATAGGACAATCCTGCAAACACTCATGCATACTTAGAGTTATTGTTTCTCTCCTGGCATTGTGGGCTAGTAGGTGGAGTCAGAAGAATGAGAGTAAGGAGATCTGGGTTTGAGTTTCGGCCCTATGCCTTACCAGGAACCTTAAACAAATGGCTTCACTTCTCTGGGCTTCAATGCCTACTTCTACAAATAGGGAGACAAAGGTTTAAAGGATCATAGATTGAGAACTGGAAAGGACCTCAGGGGCCATCTAAGCCAGCTCTTTCGTTTTATGGATGAGGAAATTGAAGCCCAGGTGATTAAATAATGACTTGCTCAAGATTACGTAGCTAGTAAGCAGGTGTTGAAGTGGGTAGTGTGCTAGGCCTAGAGTCAGGAAGACTCATCTTCCTGAGTTCAAGCCTATCCTCAGACAATTACTAGCTGTGTGACCCTGGGCAAGTCACTTAACCCTTTATTGCCTCAGCTTCCTCATCTGTAAAATGATCTGGAGAAGGAAATGGCAAACCACTCCAGTTTCTGCCAAGAAAACTCCAAATGGGGTCACGAAGTGTTGGACGGGACTGAACAACAAGTATGAGAGGTGAGATTCAAACCAAGTTAGCTGAACTGGATAGCCCTAAGATGCTACCCAAATTTAACATCCTATAATTATAGTGCACACCCACTGAAGGGGGTGATCACATCTTCAATTTTCTATTTATATCTTTTTTGATTGACTTAGTAAACTAAGCTTCCCATCTCAAATAGAGAGAGGACCAAGCCTATATTTTGGTTTTCGTTGAACATTGGCTACCCCCTCAGGCTAATATTGGACATTAGAATGCTATTGAATGACATATATATATATATATATATATATATGTCTATATGATGTACATATATACACACCTATGTCTCCAATCCTTTAAAGCCTAGCTTCTCTCCAGCATGAAGTATTTCCAAGTATTCTAGCCCAGGTGATTTATCTCTTCCCAGAACTGGTGATGCTCATTGTCTATACTTGTCAATTGGCAATTCATTACAGCCTTGTGTCGCCTCTTAAATTATTTTCTTTTTTAAAAATATTTTTCCTGTTAAGTGTAAAAACAATTTTTAATATTCTTTTTTTTTAAACTTTGAGTTCCAAATTCTGTCTCTTCCTCCTTCTCTTCAAGAAGGCAAGCAATTTGATATAGGTTATACATGTATGGTCATTCAAGACATATTAAATTATTTTCTTTATTGTCATTTAAGTCTTCTGTTTTTATTTACAGAGGTATTATGGCACTGTAAAGAGCTGGCCTTGAAACCAGGATGGCCTGGGCTCAAGTCATGTCTCTGATACACACTAACTCTGTGACCCTGGGCAAGTTACCTGTCAGTTAATTAGACAATAAGTATTTATTGAACACTTAATATATGCCAGGCATTGTGCTAAGAGCTGGGGATTCAAAGGAAGGCAAAAAGTCCCTGCCCTCAAGGAGCTTACAGTCTAATGGAGGAGACAACACGCAAACAGATATGTGCAAACAAGCTCCATGCAGGGCAAACAGGAAATAATTGACAGAGGGAAGGCAGTAGTATTAAGAGAGATTGGGGAAGACTAATGTTTCAGAAATCTAAGTAACTCTCTGTGACTATACATTGAAGAGAAGGTGCTGACCTATTGCTAGAGGGAATTTCCATCATTTCAGAGTTCCTAAAACCAATGAAATGACTGATTCTTTTCTTATCCCTGTTGTTACTTAATTTTTTATGACTTCATAGCCCTCTACCCAGGTTTGCTGTGAACTTCTTTTTATTAATTTATTTTTAGTTTTCAACAATCACTTCCATAAGCTTTTGAGTTTTGAATTTTTCTCCCCCTCCCTCCCACCCT